AATCGATTTGAATTTTTTGGATCAATTTACAGAGACCGACCTCACAAATCGGTGTCTTCGATTTCTGGCATTCAAAAGAGGAAAAATCTTCGTTGTCGTCGGCTATTTTAAATTCGAACCAACATTAATTTATCAAAAATGGTTCGATTTTAATCGAGTTGAATCCAGGTGCTCTCAGGTGCTGCGACAAGTGCATTGACGGCGTTGTTATGGCGATCTTTCGCAAGGAGTCGATTTTGACGGATCGTTCTGCGATTTCCCCCCAAATAGATTTGAATATTTTTGGATTAATTTACAGAGACTGACCTCAAAAATTGGTGTCTTCGATTTCTGGGATTCGAATGAGGAAAAATTTGCAATGTTGTCAACCGTTTTGGATTCGAACCAACATGAATTTATCAAAAATAGCTCGATTTTGATCGAGTTGAATCCAGGTGCTCGCAGGTACTGCGACAAGTGCACTGACGGCGATCTGATGGCGATCTTTCGCAAAAAATCGATTTTGGCGGATCGATTTATGATCTCCCCCAACAATCGATTTTGACTTTCGATCGATCGACAGAGACCGACTTCGAAAATCAACGTCCTCGATTTCATGGGATTGAGATGAAGAGGAATCTTCGTCGCCGTCAACTCTTCCAAAAGTTGAACCAACATTGATTGGTGAAAAAATTTTGACAAATCGTTTTGCAATTATACCCCAAAATCGATTTCAGGAATCAATCTACAGGAACCGACCTTAAAAATCGATGTCTTAGATTTCTGGGATAAAATGAAAAAAAAAAATCCTCGTTGTTGTCAACCATTTTAAAATTTGATCCAACATTAATTGATCAAAAATAGTTCGATTTTAATCGAGTTGAATCGTGCGGCGGTACGTAAAATCGATTCCGATTTTACGTCGACCGTAAAAAACGTATCACATTCGAAGGTCTTTTTCTTAGATTTTTGTTGAAAAAAAAATAATGCTGGTTATAAGATGTAAAAAGAATGAATCAATCGAAACATGATGGATAGCATTACGCAAAATCAGCGTGACCGCATCATTCTTTTTTAAAATCTTGAGAGATCAAGAGCAGAGTAAATTAGAGGAATAACACTGCTTAGTTTTCCACAATTATAGAAATAAATAGAGGAAAAAGTTGTGCAATACGAAGTCAGCTGGGGCCTCTTGAGACTGTCCATTTTATTTTCGACACACCGGAAAAAAACACATTGGATCTAGAGTCCAGACTCTTGAAAACATTGACAAGAAAAAATACTCTTAATTCAATCGGATTTTTGCTTGAATCAAAACGAAATCCGCTTAAATTAAGAGGCTTGGTTCTTGATTTAAGCCAGACCCTGCATGAATCAAGAGTACTTCTTCTTGTCGATGTTTTTATGAGTCTGGACTCTAGATCCAATGTGTTTTTTTTTCCCTCCAGTGCATGGTTTGTCATTTCTACCTCTTTATGCTGCATGTCGATAAGCTAAAAGGGTAGAGCGCCAGAGCCTCTTTTACATAATGCTGCGGCAAAATTATTTCATTAGCTTGGATCCCTACGAGCTGAAAATCACTCACAAACCGACAGCCCTAATGGATCAATAAATTGGCGAAGACACCTCGGCCTGTCATAGCAGGCTCATTTTGCGGTTTGCCAACCCAACTTTCTCAACTGCGCCCCTCATCAGACGAGACCCCAGGGCCCCCGCTAAGACGAAATTGACTTAAAAAGAGTACACAGCACCCGTGACATCAAGTCTTGGCACCCCGAATCCCGGATCTCTACGCGAACATCTTACGTCGGTGATTTAGCCGCTAGCGGAGCTACGTAAGAGCTGTCCACGTTCCGCAACGGTTAAAAATTGAACTTTGAACTTGCCTAAGAAATGATGTGACGTGCCGTGAAATCGAACGGTTCCGACAAGTTGAGAGGAAGAGGTAAATACGAATTCTGAAGTGGGAAAGAAATGGGCTTTACCTTATGACATGAGGACTGCTGGAACGAGCGTCACTTGGCTGGAATTCCTGCAACAAAAACAAACGCGGAGTCATTAGTAATAATGTGGTATCAATGGAGCGCTACTACAGAGCTGCCTTCGCCAGGCGACGCGACGTCTCCAACTGGTGACTAATAAAAATAAAACCACTAACAAGAGTATTTTTGCTTGACTTTTTTGGAAATTACTAACTTGAATTTTGGAAAATTCTATATTTTATGAGTGATATAGGATTCATTTTTAAAGTTAGTTAGTTAATTTATGACGGCAATCAGCAACTAGGCTATTTGCGTCAGAGACTAGGAATGTACCTTAGATTGTTAAATTTACTTGCTTAAAGATAGCTTTTACATTTCGGTGATTACTTTTGGATTATCAGAACTTACAGAGTGGATTTTTGGATGGTGGTAGTTTTGAATTTTGATGCAAGTATAGCATAGAAAGCAAAATATGTTCGTTTGAAAGGGGAGAATGTTGACATAGGGAGCAAAATGGAACTGAGATTTTGAAATTAGATGTGAATGAGAGAAAAAAGTATGGTCGATTCCTAACCTTGCAATTTGGGCTTGAATTGTTGGATCCCCGAAAGTAAAAGCTTCCACCTGTCGCCAAGAGGCCAATGGAAGGTCTCTTGTCTCTGGTGTCATCAGGGTCAAAAACTTGGACAGCAAAAAGGATGAATTCCCATTTTTAGCGATGAAACGGCAACGCTGAAAGGCACTCATCAATCAACGGACGAGTATTACACGGCAAGCTGTCTGCGCAGCGGTATTCAACGGCGATTAAAGACTTTTGATTTTTGGGATTAATATTCAAGCCCGCGGCCAAGTGAAAGGTTGAGGCCTGGGTTCCCTGCCCAGTGCCCGGTGCCCACGGGGCATCGAAACAAGTGGAGAAGAGTAATGCGTCTCTACACGGGGAGAGATGGTGAATGAACGTAGTTCTTCCTCAGCCGCACGAATCATCAGCCTAATTGAATAACCTTAGCGGGAGCTACAAACTTACAACTCGTCGCTGCTGTCAAATTGAACCTTCTACAGCACGACGAAGCACAGTAATCGTCACCTCTTGCACTTTGTCCGACCTGAAGCGAATGAGCAGTTGAGGAAGCTTTCAGCCTTTCATAGACAATCTGAAACCTTCCTCATCTGGCAAGGATTCAGCAAAATATGAGCGCCTAATTATAAAAAGCACTAGAGAAAAAGTCGCTTGGATCTAGAGTCCAGACTTTTAATAACATTGACAAGAAAAAATACTCTTGATTCAATCAGATTGTTCCTTGAATCGAAGAGCCGAGCTTCTTGATTTAGGCGGATTTCCGTTTGATTCAAGCAAAAAGTCCGATTGAATCAAGAGTATTTTTTCTTGTCAATGTTTTTAAGAGTCTGGACTCTACATAGATCTAAGCTACCTTTTTTCCAGTGAAGGAAGAATTTCGAATGAGACAAACAGTGCAAATTATTGGACACATCAATCTGAACTGTCCAATTTTCGTACCATTCAATGATTTATAAGGTACTTGATGGTAATATCACAATCGATTCGCTCGTAAGCTGTCTCAAAAATTACCGTGGAAAACGAATTTCGATGACAATGAGCGCAGAAAACAAGTTTACATGCTGCAACCGAGCTTGAAAACATTTTTAGAGGATAAAAACTGCACGAAGTCTCTGATGGTTTCAGATTAAAACTCACGGCACAGACATCATCGAAAAGTTTTCAGGAATTTTGATGGAGACATTTCAAGAATATTTTCCTATTTTACGTCAGGGTTTGTTTTGTGGTTTGTAGCGACATCGTTTTTGAAGCTGGCGAGCCCACAAGCTGGGTGGGTCCTATGAGTTCAGCGCACCGTGTCAACATGCAACACAATCGGAGCTTTTTAATTACCGACCGATTGCGCCCGACCTTTCTCCGACCGTGGCGCGCCCTGGCGACCGTTGACGAAAATGACCCGGGCCCAAGTCACGAAGATTCACGACTCACCGCCGGCCGCGCTGCGCCGCGCCGCGCCGATGCGCGATGGTCAGCACCTGATCATCAACGTTGCCATTATCATGAGAGATACCTTTGGAGAGAATAATTTTGATTCGGTGATCTTGAACGGTTTATCACAAAAAAAATCGAACAAACCAACTGGGGGGGGGGGGGGTTGAGAACTGCTCGAATACGTAGGTGTCCATTGGCGAATTCAACAATTTGGCAACGCCGGATTTCCTCCACTAAACCTATGGAAATGTATTGATTTTTGAGGGGGCCAGTTGCTATCACAAGAATCGATTATTTAGCATAGGTTTCAATGGAGGAAATTCGGTGTTGCCGAATTGCTGGATCCGCCTCTGTAGGTGTCGGAGAAGTGCTCAGCGATCAGCGGGCTTTTTCGGTAGAAAATGTAATTTTTTTGGTCATCAAAAAGCAAAAGCATCAAAAAGGGCTCAGGTTTTCATCGTTTTTTTACAATCTATATTGTATTTTCGACTGAAAATAACTCAGTTGCGAGTCGAAACGTCTCGGTTTTTATAATTGTGTATTTTAGCTCTGTTTCCCGTTTTCCCCCTTGTTTGTCCACTATTATCATTGTCTCGGGCTGCTCTTAAAAATTTGTATCTGAGTTTTTTTCGACGATATGATATATATTGCTTGTAATTGGCCGTTTAATTGTCGGGGTTAATCTGCTGTGGCAACGGAGGAAATCGGGTCGACCTACGACCACTCTCTCTTTCATCGGGCGAACGTGACCGGGTCCGGGTCCCACGTGAAACACGAGAAAACGACAAAAACAACGGCC